TGCGCACACACAGACACAGGGCACAGGCGCCTCGGTGCGCACACACAGACACAGGGCACAGGCGCCTCGGTGCGCACACACAGACACGGCACGCGCACCTTGGTGCGCACACACAGACACGGCACGCGCACCTCGGTGCGCACACACAGACACGGCACGCGCACCTCGGTGCGCACACACAGACACGGCACACGCACCTCGGTGCGCACACACAGACACGGCACGCGCACCTCGGTGCGCACACACAGACACGGCACACATGTGCCTAGGTGTGCATATACAGGCACGCACAGGTACACCAGATGATCTCCTAATAATCCCCAACTATGAACTGACTTCATCACTCTATTCTCCCCCCTACTGCTAGCTGATGTGTGGTGCAGGTACTGGTCCACTATGGTTTTCACCCACTTTCACATCAGCCAGTGGGGGCTGCATATTAGTAGTGGTGGAGGGGAGTGTTCATTGCCTGCAGAGCACTGTGAGTGCAGTGTCCAGAAAAGTGCCACATAAGTGTAAGGCAAATTAATTATTACACACTTACTGTACGTGCGCAGACACACGCACAGTTACACCAGACACACACCTAGGCACTTACAAACACATCCAGGGCAAAAAGTTAATGCATTGGCTAAACAGCAATGATGAAGATGAAGGTAATCCTGGTTCACAACTGCACGAATTAAACTGATTAAATTAATGCAGTCCACAGACAGCAGCTCAGGCACTACATTCATTCAGACCAGCTCTGTCCATAAAACTGCTGCTCACAAGAAACAAATGATGCCGTTCACCTTTCCCCACAGTGCCCTGCCTTGGCCTGAATCAAGACAAGAACACAAAACACCACACACACACACAAATGAAAAAGAATGAAAATGAAAAAAGACGTTTTGTACCTTGCAGTTGGGGCTGGACTTCTTGAAGACTCTGGAAGAGAAAAGAGAGAGATGGGATAAGAAGGAGGGATTCTGAGACCGAAATCCTGTGTTCTTATTGGATGTGCATGTAGTACTGAGAGCAGGAGGCACTTTACACAAACGGTGGTAGGAGTGCAGAACAACCTGTTCAGCCATGTTGCTGAAGCCGATACCCTGGTTTATTTCAAGGAACGTGAGGATTAAAACTGCATGGTGCAATTATATATTATATGGGGTATCTATCTTGTATTTCCCTTCAAAATGAAAAATAATTACAGTCTCAGTTAGTTTCTTCATTAACGCTTTTTAATCATGCAAAGGAGTTGCTCAAAATTACCCTCAGAGTTTTTTTTCCCAATGAAACTAGAACTGACACTTTTCTGTTTAGCTGAAAATGGAAATTTACTCAGTGCAGACATTGAGGCATGAGATGCTCCAATCGGGCCCAAAGCTTCTAGAACATTCCCTGAGGCCCAAAGCTTCTAGAACAGTGGTTCTCAAACTATGGTACACGTACCACTCATGGTACATGGAGCGCCGCCAGGTGGTACGCCACATGACCCTGGAACTTTGTTGTGTGCACTGAAAAATCAGGACGGGTTTTCATATTTTCTATTTTAATACGTGTCGAATACGCAGCTTACGTACTACGATAAAGCACGAGCTAATACTTCAGTGGACACAAGGGCTACTAGGTAATTCTATACCATAGTATATGAATGCGTTCTACGAACGCAAGGGACCAATTGTATTTAAAAAAACGGATCTCCAGCAAATAGGTAGGAGAATGTGCGTGATTTTGGAACAATGCCAATGTTTGTAAACACAGGAAAGCATAGAAATGCGTACTAGGAACGCTGGCAATCTTGTGAGCACAGGAAAGCATGATAGATAACAGAAAAATATTTAAGAACTGTTCTAGATTATTTGAGAAAAATACACCAAGCGTCTCTTGCGTTTCGCTCCCATGCGCATGAAATAAAAACTTCTTTTAACTTCTGAGACAACTCCTGAAATGGAAACGGGTAAAAATGCAAGCTTGCGGATTGATAAAGCAGGTAAGCCCCACTAGTTCTGAAGAACCTTATTTACTTATTGGCAAAAGAACTGACACGTATTATGTGTGGAGAAAAGGCTGCTAAACAGTTCGACCTGCTGCCCCATCTGAAAGACAGTCACTCAGAGAATTACTGATACTCCAGATGAGTATCAAAAGTACGCTGACAGAGCACGGTAAGATGAGCAGATGCTTTTCACTGCAATTAGATGAGTCTGTAAATGTCGTTGATTTGGCCAATTTGCACGTTTACGTTACATACGAGTTTGTGGGTACGTCCAATAAGGACTTTCTGTTCTGTAAACCACTAACAATAGGAACTACAGGAGAGCACGTTTCAGCTTCTGAATGAATTTATCAAAGAGGATGGCATCGACTAGATAAAATGCATCTGAGTTTAGTTGCACGAATAAGAGAGGTTGCTCCAGAAATGAATGGATGCATAGCAACATCCACAGCGAGACCTTTGCCGTCAAGAAAATGCCTGACAATTTAAAATCCGTTAAGACTGTTGTGAATTATATCAAGGCTCGAAAAATGAATTCAGATCTGCTTTGCTCGACTAAACAGGCTCACCCCTCTCACGGAAATGGTGCTTTTTAATTGTTTATTTTTAATTGCTGTTGTTCCTGTTTTTTCTGTAAAGCGCTTTGAGAAGCCACAGTTAAAGGTGCTATATCAAATAGAGT